AGGCTTTGAAAGAGAGCTAGAAGAGAGGAGGAGGAAAGGTGTGTAGAACTTTGGAAAATGAGCGCCTGTTTATAGGCTGCAGAAAACTTTTCAAATGGCAGCAAACCTCATAACGGTTTTATCACTTTAATGCAATGAATTCTTAGCACATAAACTTCCAAAGCGGTTTTAACAATTGAAGAGTCACAAGAATTTATTCTGCCATTCATTTGCTCATTCAACACCAATGAATATTGCAATTCAATTGCAACCTTTCAGTTACTTTTCACTTTTCCTTCTAACTGAAATGAATGACCATTAATCTCCACCTTAATATTTGGCTAGAAAATTCATCCGAACTCGAACAAAACGTGGGTTGATCAGGCCCGAGAGATTTTGGTCCAGTATTTGTGTCTTCATGTCGGGAACACACACGAGTTAAGCTAAATCGATAGCCTAAACTCAAATTTCTAGTCTATGAGAAAACAATTCTCATTCGAATTAATAACTCAATTCCAACATATTTTGAGTTGAAATTGTATGATAAATAAAATATTTTGTTCGAACGGAGAGAGTAAACATTACGAATGAGACATGTTTCTAAACTCTCAAACGAATGTTGAAATTTGAGAATTAACTGCCGTAAAAACAAAGTCAAGAATTTATCTGACTGCGTTATTTAAGATCAATGGTAGAAACAGTGACAATTATAATAAAATAAAATAGTGACTAATGAAAAGACAAATACACCATCCTCACTAAGGGTTTGTTTGATAACACCACTTAATGCTTTAAATTATTCCATTAAGTACCTTTACAGTTAAACATGTTTGATAACAAAAAAAAGAACCTCTTAATGAATATTAAGTAGTGCTGAAACTGCAGTACATAATAGAAACAATAAAATTTAGTTTATGGCTTATTCCACAACTGCTCAATGGATTCAGTATTTCTAATTCAGTATTATGTATTCAGAAGTAAGAATTAATTTTTATCAAACAGGCCCTAAATATGTGTATTTATTATTTAGGGGTAAAAATATAATTTTTAAGAAAAGATAAAATTTTAACGGAAAGTGGCAAAAAAATTAGGGTCCAAGAATACTCCACATCACTCACTATCTTTTTTCACTATACGTATCATTTTCTGTTATTTAATTAATATAATTATGATTTCTTTCGTCGTAGAAAAAATTTATGAAAACATGTTCATTAATGAAAATTTTTAAGCTTACACAAGTGAAAATGTAGAAAGATAGAAAAAAGAGAGATAGAAAGAATCAATCGAGAGAGGGGAATCGAGAGCTACTCCAATGACTTCAAGGATGAGGGGCCATCTTGGACGTCCCAGGATTGGTTCCCAGGAGCCCTACAGATCATCTAGCAAGATTAACAAATTTGTGAAGCCAAATATCAATATACTTGCGTCCTTATACATGTGATTAATACTTAATATTCTCTCCGATTTTTACTATAAAGCATTTTGATTTTGTCTTAGTTTTTATCTAGGATGTGTTTTTAATTAGAGAAAAAATCTTAAAAATATATTTTCACATTCGTTTTGTTCTCCTAATTATCATGAATTATTTTTGATATTTTTATTTCAATAAAAAATACATCCTAACTGAAATTTTGAACAAATCAAAATGCTTTATAATAAAGACCAGAGGGAGTAGAATGCAACAATAGGGAAAATTATACAATCTGAGAAAGTCACAGCAAAGTCTATGTTATAATCTTTGGCCACATCTATGTACACTTTACTGTTTTGCTTTTCACTTCAACTCAAACATTATTCATTTAACTTCTGATATTTTAAAATTAAAAGTAGAAAAGAAAACAATTTGTAAAATTTGTAAGATAGACAATGTAAATGCAATCTCAAAGCCTTCATAGTTTATCTGAAATTTTTATAATTTTTCACTAGGTCATGAATATGTATGTGTATCATGTGTATTAAGGTTGGTTCCGATGGTAAATATAATGGAGTAAGGATTGTTGTGCAAAAGGGGAGCACCAAAAAAAGGTTGGGGGCAAAGTTCACCCCACAAAACTTCTCTTCAAGTTCCCAATCATTGATGTGTTTGCTAAAAGGCCCTATGACTCCTAGACAGATTTTAAAAAGCACATTTGCCAATTCAGCCCTCTGCTCACTCTGTATCCGAATCAAAATTAGTTTGGGACCTGACAGGACATTTCAGCGAACATCACTTTTTTTTACCACACATTTAGATCTTTAATTTGCTTCAGTTTTACATTATTGGTGGGTTATACAATGGAACTAACAATAGTTTTTTGTTTTAAGAAAATAATTTACAAATATCAAAACTCAATATGTGTTATTTTTTTGGAGCAGAGGGAGTAAATATTACCTATAGTTTGTTTATTGGTGAAGATTAAAAACAAAGTGTTTTATCTTGAGAGTGTAAAGTTTCAGTTACTTTTGGTTAGATGACCTAAGGTTTAATATATATTACTCTATATTGTTTCATATTTCTCTCACTAGTCTTACCTTATATATGAAACAATTTTTCTTTTTTGTAAGTTGTCCAGTTCGGATTTTTAATTTTAGTTTAATTTATACTAGAAATAAAAATCTAAATTACGTTAAATTAAAATTCAAAATCTAAAGTGGATAATAATTTCGAGACGTGAGAAATACATACTATACCATTGCTGTAAAATGTTCTTATATCTGCTAGTAAGAAAAAATAAGGGCGGGGATACTACTGCCAGCCAGTTTTCGAAAACTTCGTGCAAAGTTTTAGGTCCAATTGAAGTTTGAGGTCATAATGCAAATTGCAAAAGACATTTTTTCAAGATCAGAATGATGAAAAATCACAAAACTCAGTCAATAGGACTCATCTCATATGTCACAATCAAAATTAATTTTGTCAGGCTTTTTTTTTTGGAGTTGCAGCTGGCCTAGTATCTATGGATGCCTAAATTTCTAGACTCCCCACTTCTGATCTTTCTCATGCCCCCCTTTTTTTTTTACCTTAATTTTTCTTTAAAATATGTATTTTTAAAATTTGGCGGCTTACTGAATGTAGTACTGTAAAACCTTGACTAGTGGTCATTTTAGGGAGCTGAAAAGGTAAATTGCGCTTTCCCTTTGAATAGAAAGGAAGAAGGACAAGTGATAGAGACAAGAGAGCTTTCTGGATAACAACTACAACCATTTGAGACTGCCAGTAATTTCACCTTCAGTCACATCTCCCATGCAAGAGACCTCAAGTGAGCAAGTTGATTGCAACATGGTTTTTCTTTTTCTTTTTTTTTAATAATCTGAAATGGATCATTATTAAACTATACTGTTTGTTTCGTGATTAAAAAAAATTATAGAATAATGACGGTGATGCATCTTGTTTGTTTGGTTTTTTAGAGAGGTGTTAGTTTTTGAAGCTACCATCTTTACTACTTAAAGTCACCGTAAATATTTTTGGACCATTTTGCCCCTCACATTTCAAACTTCCACCAAAGGAAAAAAAAGAGAAAACTTGAAACCACCTCCCTTCTAAACCCCAATTTGAAATTTAATTTGATCCAAAATTAATGGCAACACGGAAGAATCAAAGCGGGAAAGAGCCGATCTCATCACGGGTACGTTTTTTTTTAAAAAAAAAAATTCGTGAATTGTAGAAAAAAAAAAAAGCATTCTGGCCGTTCGGCGGCGCGACCGGGACGCGCAAGAACCGGGACGCGTTTCTTGCGCGTCCCGGTCGAGCCGCCAGACGGCTTCTTTGCCCGTCCGGCGGGTAGAAATTTTTTATTTTATTTTGTGTTCCGTCCGGCGGCGCGACCGGAACGCGCAAGAAACGCGTCCCCGTTCAACCCAGAACGGGTGTTTTGCTCGTTCCGGGTTGAACCGGGACGCGTTTCTTGCGCGTCCCGGTCGCGCCGCCGGCCGGCTTCTCTGGCCGTCCGACGGCCAGAATGCTTTTTTTTTTTAATTTGTTTAATTCATTATTAGTGTTTAATTATGTTTAATTTAATGTAATTACGGTTATAATTTAGTTATTTGTTAATTAATAGTTTGTGATTTAGATTGAGGTTCTCTCTTAGTTGGTTATTTAGTTAATTGTGTAAATAATTTAATTTGATTAGTTTGTAAATTAGTTGAGTTTAAAAAACTAATTTAATTAATAGTAGATTAGTTCACGACCTAATTAGTTTAATTGATTAAATTACTTAATTTAAGTAATTATTAAAGCATTTAGGTTATATTTTTAATTTAATTATTAGTAGATTAGTAAATTAATCATTTTAATTGTGTAAATTAATTTAAATAGTATGTAAATTAGTTGAATTTTAAAAAATAATTTAATTAATAGTAGATTAGTTCATTACCTAATTAGTTTGATTGATTTACTCATTAATTTAAATAGTTATTAAAGTATTTAGGTTATATTTTTAATTTAATTATTAGTAGATTAGTAAATTAATCATTTTAATTGATTAAATTAATTTAAATAGTATGTAAATTAGTTGAATTTTAAAAACTAATTTAATTAATAGTAGATTAGTTCACTACCTAATTAGTTTAATTGATTAAATTATTTAATTTAAATAGTTATTAAGTATTTAGGTTATATTTTTAATTTAATTAATAGTAGATTAGTAAGGTAATCTAAATTGTTTGTAATGTAGTTTATGATTAATTAAATTAATATAAATATTTTGTAAAATAGTTGAGTATTTTGGATTAATTATAATTAATAGTAATTTAATAAAAAATTTGGTAAAGTACTTTAGTTTACTTAATTATTATATGAATTGTACGTTTAATCAAAGTGTACTTAACTATTAAACTATTTAGGATTTAGGAAATGTGTATAATTATTTGTTTAGACTATGAAAATATGATGATGATGAATAAAATTTTGTTTATAGGTTTATTGTGATGATTATGATGATAGTGATACTAGTGATACTGAAGATACTAGTAAGCGTAAGGTTCGTGCGTGTTATCTGACCATGAGTCGTCGGAAGAAAAAAGAGGAAAAAGAGAAAAAGAAGCGAATGAAAATGACTCAGGTCAATATGGGTGGTGTACCGTTTCAGACTCGGTCTAGTCAGCCGATTTATGTATCCGAGTATTCTCAGGACGACCTGGAAGAGGAAGATGAGGATGAGGAGGATGAGGACAATGAGTTTGATGAGGATGATGTGCAGGACAGTGTTAGGATAGGTGCGCATCACAGAGATACGCCTATGTACAATCTTAGTAGTTACCCTCCTCCTCGGTACTCCAGTTGTCCACGGCCTGGTCCTGGCGGTTTATCCTCTCCCCCTACCCCTATCCCTTCTCATATGAGTGGTAAGTGGCGCAGTCCACATTATAGTCCCTCTTTCCCTCATCCCGGTCAATTCCCACAGGGTATATCCACCGGTAGTCGGCCTCGTCCCTCCCTCCCCGCTTAGGCATCTCCCCCCTACATTGATCCCGTGCCCCCTCGCGGAGGTCCCGTCTCCGCTGGAGTATCTACACGTCCTCCCCCTCTCATTGATCTCGTGGGCCCTAGCCAAGGTCCCGGATCCACTGGAGTATCTACACGTCCAGTTACCACTATTGCATCATCAGGTACCAAATATCTATATTTAATTGTTGTAATTATTTAAAATTATATAATTATTTTTAATTAATTATTTTTACTTATATTTATTGAATTGTTGTATGTGTATAAAATATAATAAATAATATTTGGCTTACTCATTCATGGTACAGACTGCAGCAGCCAGTCGAGAGTTTCTGATGAAATTGATCCGACTATATCGCTAGTGACAGATGAAGTACCTGGTGGGCCGAAAGATGGTAGCGTGATTCCTAGCTTCCTTGGGCATATTGCTTATCATTTCTGGTATGGATACAATAGACCCACATTGAAGATTTTTAAAGGCGAAAAGATTCTGAATAAGTTGAAGATGTGGTATAAAGATATGAATGATGTAGTAAAAGGCAAGATTCGGGGACTGGATTGGGTCACCTTCTTCATACCTCGTATGAAGATATTGATCTTGGCTTAGTGAGTGCATTTGTTGAGAGGTGGCAGCCGGACACCAACTCATTTCATTTCCCATTTGGGGAGATGACCATCATGATGCATGATGTTTATCATATTTTGGGCATTGGGGTTGATGGAGAGTTGGTGTCAGGTACGTCCGAGACAGATGTGCTGAGGGGACATGCAGCAGGGATACTTGGCCTGGATGTGAATGGTTACAAATGGAGTCATGGCGGTGTCTCTGATTGGTTCATCCTTGAGCGATGCCAGAAAGCGGACGAGAATACCCAGGCCTCCGCTTTCTTGTGGGTATTGTTGACCTCGACATTGTTCATAGGCAAGAGTGGTGGGAGGTGCAGTGTTTCACTTGTACATGAGCTGATGGCTAGGATCGAGAATATAGGTTCATACTCGTGGGGCTCTGCTATGCTTGCGTTCCTATACCGTCAGTTAGGGATGGCTAGTAAAGCACCAGAGAGGGCGAGTTACCCGTGGGGGTAATGACAGGCCCAGAGTACATGACTGGATACCACCATTTTTTGCGGGGCCGACATCTGTGCCAGATCGTCTTTGTCAGGTTAGAGAGCGTCTCGACCGTTTCACCGAGTTAGAGGTACATGATTGCTTCATTTGATTGTATTTCATTTTTTTTGTTGAAATTTATATTTATAAATAATCTAAATAATATTTTGCAGGTAAAGTGGGAGCCATTTGGACATGGCCAACAAGGAATAGTTCCGAGGACTATCTACAGTGGGTAGATAATGTATAGTAACTTGCAGGAGCCATACATGCCGGACAGATGTATACATCAGATTGGCTACATACAGAGTATTCCTCGTTCGCCCATGTCCCCTGATGATGCATTCCGAGGACCCAGAACTACCAGTACTTTGTAGAGCATTCTGCTGTTGACACACTCAGTACTTGGAAGAGATTTCCGGAGTCAGCGTGTATTAATTTAACCAGATGGCGACCCAATTTTGGTAACATCGTAGGAGAGTGTGAGGATGGGTACCTTGAATGGTACATGCAGTATTCACATCCATTTCTGCTGCCGACAATTGACCCATCTGCAGTCTCTACACTAGCTAGGAGCAGTCATGATTATGTAAGTTGTATTTTTAATATTTGGGTTTTTGTAGATATACATTTCTATATTATAAATAGTTTAACCTTTTTTTGTTTTTTTTTAGTGGATGAATGAATTGAGGAAGCTGACGACGAACCTGATTAAAAAGGTCAAAGTGTCTGATCGCGAGCTAGCTGACGAATATGATGAGAAGCTGCAGGATACGATGATCCGTTATTACAAGGCCCCATGATCATTGTCATTGTCGTATTATTGGATTGGATTTGTTTGTTTTTCTGTTTCTTGGACTGCATTTAGTTTTTTTTTTTTTATGATATGATGGAATTGTGTGTTATATATTAGTTAACTTATTTGGTGTCCGTGTGGTAAGTTTTTTTTTTGCTAGTATGGTTAACAAGGTTCGTTATTGCACAAATCATAAAAAACAAACAAGTGTATACTAGATAATACCAATATCTAATTCACAACAAATAAACAAACATGAATCTAATCTAAGAAACTAAGATCAATGAAATCATTAGCACAATCCACGACACGTCCAGGATTGGAGGGGACCAACCTATATCAATCTTGAATTCTAGGAAGAAGTGGTAATTCCCAACCATCAACTCTAGGCTGATGTTCCTTAGTCCACCGATTATTGATCGGTGGAACTGGAAAGTCATCGTTCAAATTGATCCAAATGAAGTGCTTGTAAATACCAAGGTGACATACCCCAATCTCATATGCCGGACATGTTGCCTCACCGCGTGCAGTGACAGGTAGTATAATCCAACATGAGGAGTTTAGTGACTGGTTCTCTTCCCCTACACCGTAATAGTACACAATTGCATTGTTCATAGTCGCAACTACGAACAAGTCCATCGCACACATCCAATAGCGATCAGGTGCGAAACCCTGTCCACTCCACCGTATACGACTGACTTCTTCCTGGCAGGATGTCCTGCATTTATATATGCAATTATTTATGCAAAATACTGCCAAGTTCAGCAACATAACATAGAAAATGAAAAGTATTTATATCCGTAGATTCTACTGTACAAATGCCAATTCTGTTCTAGCTCGTTTGCCATTGCCTCTCTCGCTATTGCCTCTCTCGCCATCGCCCACTTGTCCTGGCATAAAAACAGGTTACTCGCGATGACGCGAAATCCACAATTGCCATCGGCACCAACATCAAGGTAACTGGTAATATATGGCCGAATGGGCCATGGAATGATGTCGTAGCAACCATACTGTGAAATATCACTCGCAAAAATATCTGTACATTACACGGAACAAATGTTATTTAGAACCATTGTTAATAAATAAATTATGGACGCAACAATTACTTCTTAACATGTACCTGTGGATGCATCTGTACGACCACCTGAAGACGAGTGGCACTTCTTACTTGAATCGCTAGTAATTGTGGTCGACTTTCCTTGAGCCTCGTCCCTGTAATCCCACACATTAGGTGTTGCTTTTTTCTATGGGGATTGTTCATGGGCAAGAGTGTTGGCCTCTGCTTTTTTCTTTGATTTAGCCCCCTTAGGGCGCCCCTTCCTTCTCTTGACCTCCTCGGGTTGTTTGAACCCACACTGGTCTGGATGCATAATATCGTGGAGAGTCCTATTTACCGTGCGTCGTACTGCCTTAGGACACTCGTTCAGCTCTTCCATCAACTGTCTGGTATAAAGGACATCGTCATCCACATCGCTAGGAGCACTCGTACCAGCCTGTTCACCGATATTAAGGGTCGCCCAGGATGGGTGAATATGCTTAAGAGTTATCGATGTGCCGGCATCTGCAGCCTTTTTGAGGGCGCACGCACATGGAATTCGACAAGTCCAGTACACCACATGATCACATCTATCATTCGTTTCTTCTTTCCACTCTTGCGCCTTCGACCACTCAGTGTTCAGTTTTTGCAAACATGTATGTGAAACTTGACACTTCAAGCGGTTCAGTGGAAAACCGCAATAATGGGTGCCAATTTTCTGTCTCGAGTACTCCAGTTTGAAACCTGAATGTAGCCACTTACTGTAAAACATTCTACGTAAAATGCCATAAAAACAAAAAAAAATACTAAATATATTATAATAAATATAATATAATGGAATAGAACTTACCGTATTTCAGTTAGCTGACTCTGAATTTCCAAGTGCACCTTAGCCCAAAGTGTATCCAGCGACACCCGTGGATGTTTCCAGCCAAGTTTTTAACTGCTTGTGCGCGCTCTCCACCCTACCTGTAGCAGTGTTGCCCATATGAAACACAGCATTCGTCCATACCTTGACGAATTTGTAGTCAACCACTAGCCATGTCTTCTGGATATAATTAAGAACTCTCGGAAAACACTGCCAACGACGGTTTATTACGACAACAGCTTTATTGTACTCATCTTGATTATTAGCTTCCACAACGTCTTTCCACAACCCATATGCAAAACCATTTGCAATCTTGGCCTCAAATTTCGATTCCTTGTTGAGATGTCGCTTTACATTCTCATAAACATGCCAAACACACAACAAGTGGCATGAATCTGGAAATACCATACCCAGCGGCGCCATCAACCCCGGTTCCCGATCAGTAACAATAACAGCCGGAGACAGATGACCAGGAAACAAATCCATAAACTGTCTCAAAGCCCAATAATAACTGTCACCAGTCTCGTCACTCAAGAGGGCGTATGCAATCAAAAATTTCTGGTTGCACGGTATCATCGCAATAAACTCAACCAACGGCATTTTGTACTTGTTCGTCTTGTATGTTGAGTCTATCCCGACGACCCAGAAATAAGTGCAAAACAAATTGACAGCATCAGGATGTGCAAAAAAAACACGAGTCAGCACACCTGTCTCTTGATTGCAATCTGTCATGATGATGTAACGACGATGCTTGGCCACCGATAGTGTCTTCGTCGCGACATCCATGGCACTCGAGTCACCCAAGACCGAGAACCCCTCATTACGCAATTTCTTCCTGAAATTGTAGACTTGCCGTCTGTTAACTTTTTCATCAGGAAATATCCCCTCAATCGCAGCCATGATCTGACACGGTCTACACCCATCTTTGGACATATCCCGTATAAGCTGTTTCACTCCATCGCTAAGGCCCCTCGTGGGATGATCTTTGTCAAACAGCTCGTGGTTATGCATTCCAAACTCACCAGGATACACCTGAATGCGCCACTTCTCATCAACTAAGTGCATATATAACTTAAATTTATACCCAGTGATTTGTGTCTTCGAATCTGATGTGACATAGTATCACCATCATCAACTAACACCTTTCCCCCTTTACAGCATCTCATCAGAACAACATTCTTCCTCTTGCTAGAAACTACGTTTATTATCATACCATTTGCCATGCCCATGCCTTTCACCCAAGCAACAACATCAACCTTTTCCGAAAATTTCTCATCTATAGCAAACAATATACAATAAGCTTCACCATCGCCACCAAAATCTTTGAAAGAATCCTGCAAATTAAACATAAAATTACCACAATAAAACACTGCATTATAATAAATTAAATTAAATAAACATTCCAATCATTTAAAAAAGATATACAATTATAATAAATAATAAAAAAATATATATTTACAGTAAAAAGATTAATTATAAAAAATACAAAAACTCAACTAATCCAAAATTATTTACTAAATTAAATTTCCCAATACCTACCTAAATAGCTAGAATTCATTAATTTAGCGATTAATTAAATATTTAATTAATTACATTTCCAATACTTAATTAAATACTTATTCCACAAAATTCTTTAATTATTTAATTCCCCCCTAAATAAATATTATCTCTAATTAATTAAACATAAATAAATAAATAAAATTCAACTAATTAAATTACTTAACATAACATAATTAAATTATTTAAAATTCAACTAATTAAATTACTTAACTAATTAATTCAATTAACAAATAAAATAATAATATTCCTACTTAATTAAAGTAACATAACATGCAATAAATAAATAAAATTCAACTAATTAAATTACTTAACATAACTAATTAAATTAAGAAATAAAATAATAATAATACTACTTAATTAAATTAACATAACATGCAATAAATAAATATAATTCAATTAATTAAATTACTTAACATAACTAATTATATTAACAAATAAATTAACATAACATGCATGAAATTAAAATTAAAAAAATAAAAAAATTTTAAAAAAAATTGTTCACCGAACCGGCCCGTCCGATAGGACTGGGTTCAATGGCCGGACGCGCAACACACGCGTCCCAATTGAACCGGGGACGCGCAACCAACGCATCCGGCCATTAAACCGGACGCGTTTGTTGCGCGTCACCGGTTCAATCGGGACGCGTGTGTAACGCGTCCGGCCATTGAACCGGACGCGTTTATTGCGCGTCCCCGGTTCAACCGGGACGCGTGTGTTGCGCGTCCGGTATGATTTCACCCGGACCAGACGCGCAACACACGCGTCGCGCAACAAACGCTTCTGGTGGCCGGACGCGTTTGTTGCGTGTCCCCGGTTCAACCGGGACGGTTTTCTTGCCCGGTTCGGTTTTTTTTTTAAGTTTTTTTTTTACCTCTGAATTGCTCATTTTCTTTCTCTCTCTACTGTATTAAATGACATGGGTACAATCGTCCAATTTTTTTCGGTGGCTTTGAGTACTAAACCGGGTGGCTTTAAAAATCCATCCCCTTTTAGATGGTTTTTTCAGATTATTTTAATAATAAATGTTCTATTCTAATACACATTTTTATATTTTCAATACAAAAAACACTTAAAAACACACACTAAAAAAACGAAACAAATTTTTTATATTACAGTTTTCACAATTTTCTATAAGAAGAAAAAGAAAATACTCTTTATCATTTTTATCATGATTAGACATTATGATTGGCTTACTATAAAAAACACATATGATATTTCATTGATTATAAAAAATATTGTATCATTTTTTGAAGTAATATAGAGCTGACAACATTTTATTTTAGTTTTTGACTTAGGTTTAGAATGTAATTTAAAATGGAGTTTGAGTTAAAATTTAAAAATTTTTATGAATATTTTTTAGAATAAAATAATATTATTTTTTACCTTTACCGGACCACCTTTACCACTATTGAACCCGGCCGGTCGGTGATAATATTATGATGGTGAGCGGCGAAGTAGTGTTCCGGTGGTGGTGGTTGAAAGTGGTGTAAAATGAAAGTAAAAATAAATTTTAAGGATAATGATTTATGCATTGGAATTTACAAGAAATTTTAACAGAGAATAAATAATAATTTTTATCTTTTAGGTTTTAACCATTTAGAGATTAGGGAATGGTTAAAATTAGCTATATCATTTTCTGTAAATTTTTTCTATATTTATCAACACTCAAATTTTAAATGTTATAAATTCAAATATTATATGGACAATATTTTTTTTTATATTGGGATTTAGGTTTAAGAGTGAAATAAAATTTTTTTGGTTTAGATGGCTGGACACAACATCCCTTAACGGTAAATCAATTATTAAAGGGTGTTGATCAATCGAGATCAGTTTTTTTTTTTTTTTAATCTTGAGAGCAAATTTTTCATAAGTACCAACATTACACTTATATTTAATTTTTTAAATATTATTAATTATCAAAATCTATTTCATTTTCTCTCAATTTTTGCTCACCTCTTGTCTTCTTCACAACCCCTCTCTTGCCGCCGCTATATCTTTCCTCAACTTCTGGCAGCTGATTTTAGGTGATGCCAAATTCCATAAAGAAAACACAGAAACAAAATAAACCAAAAACTTATGGCAATCAATCCGATTCAAAAAAAAAAACAAAAAAAAAAATTCATTTAATATTTGATTAAAACCCCAATGTTTTTCTGTCTAATCTATGCAGGTTAAATTTATTTGGTGCATTCCATGAATAAGAATCCCTCTAATTTTATGTAACTTTATAGCAACAAATCTGGTATTAAGGCTACAAATTGTGCTTTGTTTGTATTTTTTAGGATTATGAAGTATTTTTTCTTAAGAAAATGAATTAATTTGGAAAAAGAGAAATAAGTCCGAAATGGGATTTATAGACTTGATGATAGAAATTTCCATCTCAATAGTAAAAATTGGCAGGAAAGTTGAGAAGGAGATAAATTAATAAATATGTAAAAGTTATGTGAAAAGATATTATTGGTATTTGAGAAAAATCTACTCTCAATATAAAACTTCTGCTCTTAATTTATCAATTGCCATTATCAAAGGGTATTCCTCCAACTGCAAATCTAATGGAGTAATGATATTTTTCTTTACAAATATAACTATACTCATAACTCTATATACATGTCTATCTATTCAGCATTCTACATCATCTTCCTAAATATTATTTTTTCCATTCATTAAAAGAAATTTTATTTATTTATTTTTTTTCCGTTTCACAATTCGCATGCAGAGAATTCCCCTTTCTCAAAATTCTGAGAATCATTATCACAGTTCTCAGCCGCAAAAAAATAAATTAAATGAAGCCATGCCTAATAAACTTGTGCTCATGTTGCCATTGTTGGGATTCTTGCATATGTTTTCATTAATTTTGATTCTGATTGAAATCTGCCATTGTTGGGATTCTCCTATCTCCATATGAGTAATTAACTAATCTATTGTGCAAAATTTATCAGAACCACAAAAGCTAAAACCTCAAAAATTAACCTAATTAAAATTTGTCAAGATTGTGTGAGATAGATATTGACGAAGAATGGTTTTCAATTGGTGAAGGAACCTGATTTTTTGTCTCTTCTTTTTGTTTGAGGGTTATGCTACACACTGATTGGGGGAAGGTGGATGAAACTTTAAAGCTTCGCTTGAAATTTATTTTATTTTTCAGTGGAGAGAAAAAAGAATATTTTTCATTTTTTGTGAAATAAAAACATAAAAAATAGATACGTGATGTGGAATGCCAAGTAAATATACATGTAAATGTAAATAGAGTTACAAGTAGAGTTATATGCGTATGTATATGAACTTAGCTTACAAATAACGCTGAAAAGACATTTGATCCCCAAAACAGGCCGTATTCTTTTTACGGGTTAGTTTTCAGTTGGACCCTGTTTGGTTTCAGATATATCATAAATCCTAGCCTTCCAGTTGAGTGAAGTCTGGAAATTTAGTTCATTGCATTTCTCAAGGGTTAAAAAACTGCAAAAAGTAGTAGTTTTGACAACAAAAAGATATCCCAAAAGCAGGTCTAATAACTTCTCTGCATCGTCATTGATTAAAAGTTTCAATCAGAACATCACAACATTTCATGTTGATGAAATATGACGAAATTCGGATATCCAGAGGCCTCTGATCGGATCGGATTATATGTTGCAAGGATCTATACTTACCTTCTTAGAGCATTTCCTTCAAGAAAAGATTTGATTCTGTAGAAATAAACAGGACAGAAATAGCAACTGCAGCAGTTCATGTGTTGCTCAGACCGTCACAGCACATTGCAGATCGTCTCACAGGTTCAAGATATTACAAAGATTCTGAAGGCCATTTATTCTAGTTCTTTGTTCTTTCATTCCAAAATCAGTAAACTCCACAAGAGAAAAACAAGTATATAATTATGTCCGAAGGAAAAACTAAACAGTATCCTCTCTTAATTTATGCCTGCACAATTGCAGAACATCCATGTATAGCAGCCTAATGAACAGATGTTTAAATATAAAAAAAAAAATCCAGGTGGAATTGAATACTGGATAAAGTACCTGGAGAAGAAGAAAGTATCTACAAAGCTAATTGTTAAATCCCTCCCCAAGTAGGAGACTTATCTCAGAACCACATTCAACTTACTCTCAACCTGCTCTCTTACTTTCAACTGCAAGATAAAAATTAACACAATTAAGTAGCCAGCGCAAGATTGAATGACACGAGTTAACATAACACAATATATCATTTTATTATTCTCATCATATGGATATCTACCTGCAAAGCATTTATCTCCTCATCTGTGAGTGATCGCTCCATCGACCGAAATGTTATCCGGTAACAATGACTGGTCATTCCTTTCTTGTTCGTGAAGTTATCTATTAGTTTTACCTGGTGAAAAGAGACACCAAAAGGATGAACATGTCAACAAAACGTTAGCCAAGACAATTTTCTTCATATTGAGGAAATATACAAACACAATGCATGCATGGCTGACTCTGCACTCAGAAATGACTCTGAACATGACCAAAAAATGATTCACCCTATAGGCTATATTGTCAGTTTTTGTCGCTCTCAAAAATATGAACTGCCGATAAGTGGAGCAGAAGAAGAGAACTATTCAAACCAGATTCAATCTAATGACCAGAAAGGGATTCTTCTATAACAAGAAAGAAAGGAAATTCACCTACTCAAATCAATTCATGGTTGTCATATATCACCAGATGCAAGAAATGATAAAAAGAGCAAGCATTGGCCCAAAGATGAAGTGTGCAAGCGAAAAAGTTCCAAGCTGTTACATAGGTATAAATCATTCAGATAACATAACACAAAAATACCTCTTCCGCAAGATCACCAGCAACCCCTCTAACAACTTCACAGAGGTTGTTTTCAGTGAATGAATCGTTGATCCAAAAACTCATGTCTTTATAACAAGGAGGATACTGCAAGAAAACAATATGCTCATATTCTGAGAAGAAATGAACAATTATACTTCTGCATGAGCATGGATATACGTTCTTATAATATCATTTCAGTGGCCTTGAAGAAAGTGAATAAAAGGCTTGGTGTGTCATACCTTAGAAAACGGCTTAAACTTCATTCCAAGCTTCCCTTTGGAAAACTGTACATCAGTAAAACATGTTAAAATCTTTACAGTTACCATGCATAGATAGAAGGAAAAAGACCAACAGGATAATTACTTGAGAAGTGAAACGTTCATCAGAAGACCAGAAAAGCCGAATATCCGGAATATCAAACAACACCATTGCAAGTCGCTCCAGTCCAAGACCAAAAGCCCAAGCAACATTGTTTGTTCTACCACAATTCTTCAGTATTTCCTGCTCTGTGACACCACATCCCAAAACTTCCATCCATTTTTCCTGCAATGAATTCAACAGGTCACCCACTGCAGTTTCAGTACAGTTCAGCAATAGAATCAAACTATTTTTATAACACAATCCTTATGAAAAGTCACAATGTATCATGTCATTGATGGGTGCATAAAATTTGGATGTCCGATGTATGAGCTTCCTGATAGGGAAACAGCTGGCTAATATGCAAATAAACTCTGATGGTAGCCAGATGCAGTGAAATGTCCCATACACAACTTGAAATAGGTTATGCAATATTAGAAGGATGAATTCTTCAGTTACAAATATAATTGCAAATAGTGTGTGTATTCATCTCTCAGATTACGATAGGAAACCATCCAGGCATGACTAAGACATTTCCTCTGCAGCAAATGGAAAGGTTGCAACTACATGATTCAAAGACATACTTGGTGGGCCTAGGCTGAGAAATTGTTCCGGTAAATGAAGTCATCAATAACAAATTTGAAGGACAATAAACATTCCAGAAGAAATGACATGAGAATGCCTATCATTAAGCAAAATTGATGAGGAAATATAAGAAAGAAAACAAGTGCATTAAATAACGGTACTGGCAAATACAATAAGGAAACCAGTGTTAAAAGTATTCTTTCATTCCCTTTCACCCTATACCAGTTTCTCACATCTTCTTAGAAGCAACAACGGATTCTCAATTTTGTAAGGAATTTTGTGAGGTTGTTTATTGAGCAGATCGCATGTTGAGACAGAGTAATAGATGAGTATGAATATGCAAAAAATGAATATCTAAACAATGTGACTTAATAAACCTGAAGTCCCCAGATAGCTCCAGTTAAATTTTTCCAAATCACTCTTATTTTTCCAATAAAGAAACAGCCAAAATACATATTACAGATAATTTCACTCAAAGGAATTAGTAAGCTAGTCTTTTGATCAGAATCCTATGTTTCTCAAAGTTTGTTAGAAGAAATAGTTATAGCAGATAGAATACAATCGCATGTTCACACCATGCTTAGAAGTCTGGAATTAAAATTACCTGAAAGTATATTTCCAGCTCAAAAGATGGATTCGTGAAGGGAAAGTAGGTGTCAACCCAGCGCATTTCAACAGCACCTGAAAATTAAGACTTGAAATCAGAAGTTTGGCTAGTACCATAAAAGTCTATGTTGATCCCAACACCAATAAGTACTGTAATAGACAATGGAAACCTAAGCCAAAGTCACAACCTTACGCCAGTTCTACTTTAATGTGGTTTAAAGAACGTCTTTTCCCGCCACCTATGGTTCAACTATTCTTTTGACATCAAACTATCTAAGATATATACATAGATTTTTGTGGACATTATCATAATTTGGACAATATCTTTGATTCTACAATTTACAGAAACTTTGGGCTTTACTGAAGGAATAAAAATCATACTACATAGGCTCATGCAACAAAAGAAACTTGCTCCTTCATCTATTATTTTATTTATAGTAATAAACAACTTGCAAAATTTCAAAGGATAAAGATGGTCCAATCAAATAAAGTGGAAGTTAGAGAAAGATGAATTGTCCAAATGAAACATGTAGCGCAGGTAGCAAATATATTGGGTGTGTTGATGTAGATGTTCATTTGTGAAACATGTAGCGTAGGTAGCAAAACCTAAACCTATACTGTAAAAACTAGGGCTCTTCATTGCAATTCTCATTGTAGTTTTGTTTCTTCCTCTCAAAAGAAGTCAAGTTCAATCTATTTCATCTATTACTTTCTAGAACAATTTTAACAATACCAAGCACCTGGACAAGTTAAAGAAGTTCACCTCGACTCAAGTACCTAAAGGCTAAAAAGTAAGCTATTTTTTAACATTTGCACTATCAAACAATAGCAGACGCACCAAATAAGTGACGCGCCAATCCTTCAAGGCAGTTCTTTAAATCCAGAGCAGCATATGATGTACCATCTACGCCAGATCCTTCCCAATCATTTGGAGCAAAAACACGGAAACCTTCCATCTGTAATACCATAGGGAAAAAGATCAGTCAGATATAATATGGGAAAATCATCATTATTGTCGTAAGTATGAACACGGAACCTGATGGAAAACAGGGTAGTGGGTTGAATCAATGGAATCTCTGCGATACACATCTCCAGTAACCAGGAAGTAATTGTGTCCCTTCCTCAAGAGCTCAGCTTGGTGAGCACTAGTGTGGCATCTCAACACTGTTTGAGAATCTACATAGTATGTATCGTTGTAACTCCTACTGACATGGTCAGCAGGAACCAAGACATCGTCAAAATTCTGCAAAAAATACATCGAAATTACAAGAAAGAACACTGTTGAGGAGTGAAAGAGCTCGTAAAGGTGACAGTGAGACCTCAGATATCCGTCATGTTGAACAATAGAACTGGAGATGGTCAAATAACCTAAAAAGATAGAAAATAGAAACTCACTAAGCATTTTAAAGTACCATCTAAAACCCCATAGTCAGTATTTGCCTGATAGAAAATTTAAGCATCTACGCAAAACACATCATCTGGCTTTCAAAATAATGTTCAGAAGTCTGTTTGTCAGGCAAAACTGAAGTTCGCTCATTTGACTTACAAACAGAAGGACAAATTTCAAAATGATTTTCCAGAAACTAAGAGTCGTCGCAATAGGCCCTTTGAGTCAAACTATGACAAATTTGAAAAGGGTCCTATGGTGGGAAGGGCCTTCAGTTTTTTACTTTCCAAACCATCGGATATGTTCAAAAAGATATATACATTGCAGGGATAGCCACAACTTCCTTTGTTTATTCCCATAAATCCATGGCTTTCGTTCATATGTTATTCATGAGCCCAATTACCATTTACAATCAACATATAGAGCTGTAGACTCCTCGTTTGCAGTAACCAAATTAAATCTTCTAAATATCGAACACATTACATAATTAATCTCAATGTGCGTTCCTAGAACAGGATAGATCAACATAGATAGCTAACATCGACAGCTAGTTATTAATGAAACGAAAGTAATAAATTAACAACCAATGTTTAGCTCGGTAGTAGCTATATCCTTCTCAAGGTCAAAAATCAATGTCATGTTCATGTCCAAGCCTACTACTCTGACAAAGAACAATAAGAAAATCTGCCATATCTATTCTTATGCCCAATGATGGTTTCAACGGAGTTCGTCATATGATTAAAAAGACTGTCATCTAGGAGAAACTGAACAACAAATAAAGGAAATAACACAGTTATTAAAAGCAGCTGAATCTAAAGTCTTATCACGTTTTCTGTTATCAGTATCCAACTGCTTTTATCCTTTATATATCAATCCATGAACTGAAAGTGAACAAAAATATTGAAGGAATCCTTTCTATCATAGTTTTTCCGAACTTCAGCAGACATAAACCAACGGAAACAAATAACAGATTATCAATTTACTAAAAGGAGTCATCTATAAGGAGGTAAAAGACAAATATACTGCAAGAAGGTGGAGAAAAATTTTGCAACTCAAACCTGCTTGACAGAAACTACTGGGAACAAATTATCAAATTTTTCAAATTTATTGGGGTAGTTGGTGTCAAAATAGTCATAGATTGCATTCTTGAGGATGCCGATTGGATGTTGATCCCTCCTGTGAAGCTGCATTCCAAGCTTAGAGAAAATTGTATCAGGAACATTGTTAGTAGGGTCATCCCGCACTATTTCTGCAAGAGCAAAATCATAGTACATTCAGCAATAAATGGCAAAGGACAAACTAAACAAGGACTTTTCTTGTGTAAAACCAAAAAAGAACACATTCTGAAAGATACGAACTGCAGTATTTCTACTTTCAACAAAAACGTCGAACAGTGGCAATGATAGCCAGTTATCAGATGCTAGTGTTGCTGCAGTTATTCAAATAATCAGTTCCTATGGATATTCCGCAAAGCCAAAATATCAATCAAAGAAGTTGATGCACGCTATCTATCATGCTTCTCAAATTTAAGCTTTCGACTTCCTCAATCAAATTAAACCAAAAATCGAACAAACTTCAATAACCCATAATTGTATAGAATTTGTGCATACGAGAAACTGAAGCAATGATACGGTCCAGTAAATTGATCAAGCATATTATGGTCAAGGAAAAATTAAACAAGCCAAGCCAAATACACAAAACCCAGATTACTTATTGGTAAAAACAGCACAGAATTGTATGATTACAACAAAAAAGATGCAAACTTTGAGCAGACCCCGGATGATAAATTTACAAGTTCTCAAGTTTCCTGAGCAGAAAATATACCTTCTCTGGAAACTTTTACACCGCCGAGCTCAAGGACTGAGGCCACCGGTTGCCTCCACTTGCGGCGATGGATTTGGTCAATAGGGAGAGCGGAGGTGGAAAAGGAAACAGAAAAGAATGATGGGGTGGAAAGAGCAAAGCTTTTCAAGCCATTCCTATGAAGTGAAAGAAGAGAAGGTCTTGTGAAAAGAGTGTACTGAGCAAACGTCAAAGCCATGATAGTGCAAAATCCTTCCTCCCAACAGAGTGGCTGAGGTGAAGTTGGGAAAATCAGGCCATTTGCCCTGTTTGGATAGCCAATTTTTTCTTGGTAAATTTAAGGTGCAATATAAACCAGCCTTTAAAGTGGAGTTCTTTTTGGCAAATTTTTTCTTGGTCTTTCTTTCTTGGGCGAACTACGGAAAAAATTGCTTCCCTACTCAAAGTTTTGCCCACGGCGTCAATTTTACCTATGAGATTTTTAGTTAGCCCCATTTAATATTTATCCGAATGTTTGAAATTTTCGTCAATTTTGTCCAATCGTGCTATTTTCCTTCCAAGTTAACGGATCTCCGTTAATTTACTAATAAAATAATCGATTTAATTACAAAAACACCCCAATAAGTTTTAAAAAATATGAAAAATAACCCCTGAATTATATAAAAATAACAAATAGTCTATTTTTAATTTTTATTTTATTTTTCTCTATTTCATTCCATTTCTCTTTAATACTTTTAATGACCATAAAATTAAAATTATTTTATTTTAAAATTAATAATAATAAAGAATTTTATTTTTTTAATAAATAATAATAAATTAAAATAATTGTAATAAATTATTTTAAAATTATTATTAATTTTAAAATTACTATTTTAAGGTATTATTAATTTTAAAGAATTTTAAAATTGTTATTAATTTTGATTTTAAAATACTTTATTATTAATTTAAAATAATAAGAAAAAGTATTTTAAATTAATTTTAATTTAAAATAAAATAATTTTAAATTAAAAGAACAAAAATAATTTTATTTTATTATTATTTTATTTCTTAATTACTAAAAAATAAATGTTAGAGTAGAAGACAAAAATACCCCTGTTGACCTGACGTTTGAAACGGTCAAACTTTCTGAATAGTGTTAGAGGACCAAAAAAATATTGAACATAGAAGTAGAGGACCAAAACAGATAGATGTAGATATAGAGGACCAAAATGTGCAGATCACCTTATGTAAAATACCAATTTTGGATTTCAGTCTTGTATTTATATAAACATATTAATTTTTTTTAATAATTAACATAGTTTAATAGTAATGACAATATTTTTCTTCTTTTTTTTTTCAAAAAAAATCACCCCAGTGGACCCAACTAAAATATACTAATAAATTATTTTGTTATCTAAGCTAAATATTTTATTTTTATGTGTGGTATTAGTTTTAGTTAAATCAATATTTATATTTGGAAGAATAAAATGAATCAGAATATTATCGTTATTGCTAATCTATATTATTAAAAAACTTAATATGTTTATACAAATACAATCATGTGTTACAACTATATAAAGATTAATTTTTACAGTAGAGTATGAAAATAAATAAATATTTCTTTAAAGATCATATAATATAATTTTATGGTAATTAAAAGTATTAAAGAGAAATGGAATGAAATAGAGAAAAACAAAATGAAAAATTAAAAATAGACTGTTTTGTTATTTTTATATAATTCAGGGGTTATTTTTATATTTTTAAAAAGTTATTGGGGTGTTTGTGTAATTAAATTGATTATTTCATTAATAAATTAACGGAGATTCGTTAACTTGGACGGAAAATGGCACGATTGGACAAAATTGGTGAAAATTTCAAACATTAGGGTAAAGTTGGCTAACTGAAAATCTATTGGGTAAAATTGACGACGAGAGATAAGCTTCGAGTAGGAACACCATTTTCCCCGGCGAACTACATTCGAATTTTTTCCTTAAATATATATAAAAAAAAAAACCTAGACAAAAATAAAGCTTTTTAAAACCTTGTGGACAAATTTATATGCCCCGGATTTAGGAAATCCGAATGGGGGGAAAACTCGGATTTCGGAAATCCGACCCCAACTCAACTCGGATTATTAAAATCCGACTTTATATTACGTAAATCCGATATTAAGTTAATGACAAAAATTAGTGTAATTAATCTAAATCCAGATTTTATAAATCCGTTTTTATGAATAAAATATTAATTTCCGGATAGAGAAAAAATAATGTGTTGAAAAATTAAATTTGGGCAGAACTCGGATTACCGAAATCCGAATCTACTCGTTTTCGAAAAATGGTGACTCCCGATTGTACGGACTCGGATTTCAAATCCGAATCCTTTACAAAAATCTGGGTTCGGATTTCGCAAATCCAAGTCTTTGTCGAACTGAAAAAATTGGACTGATTTTCACCAGTCCTAAACATGTTTACAAGACCAACAACAATGAAACATTGGAAAATAGGAATTTAATAACAACAAAACAATAAACAAGATTCGATTAACAACAAAATAAATCAAGTTTCATAAAAAGTTCAATACAAAAACTACTATAAATGTCCAAAATAATGAAATGTCTCATTTTTTCCTTTTTCTTTATTGTGCGCATCCGGAGTGTATTTGTTTGGGCCTGTCGGATCCTGTCTCCTCTTAAGATATGTGAGTATTGAACTTTGGTGTGGTTGCGATCGTCCACCAAATCGAGCCTCGATTTGGGGTTGAGATTGGGACTCCCATGGTGATAAATTTGACTCCCGGTTATGGTTGCGACTGTCCACCAAACTGAGTCTCAAGTCCACCAATGTCAAACTGAGTCTCGGGTCCACCAATGTCAAACTGAGTCTCGGGTCCACCAGCTTCTTCAAAATGAGTCTCGACCTGGATGCGCGAGCCTCGAGAGGAATGTGCTTGATCCTCATTTTGTTGACCCTCAGTTTGTTGTTGCGATGTCCGAGGGGGGATTGTGACCTTTCTCTTTCTTCCTCCTCCAATCTTATCTCTTGACCAGGGTTTCGCTTTTTTACCCGGCGGAGGTTGTGAGGGGAAAAATGGATCTTTATCAACCAGGATTTGGGTATCATCCACCTCCATCTCATCATTTGCGCCCAAGGTTAAAGCAGCATGTGTTTGATTGATGATATCGTCCAAATGCTTGTCAAGTTCTTCGTCTAGGAGATTATCATCTTCTCGTTTTTCTCTAAACCTCTCGCGCGAATGTTGTTCAATACTTCAACCTGAAAAGAAATTGGGACGTTAATTAAGAGAGTAAAGTTCTAAAAAAAAAAAATGAAAAAAAAAATGGAAACATAAGAAATAATAAAAGAAATCTACAATTAACTCACATATAATTTCACGCGGCTCGAAGAAGTCTCGTATCCTTGAGGTTCATAATTACCGGGATTGGATATCAATCTGACAGTGTTCACCATAAACCATTCATAGTACCCCTCATATACGGAACCAGGATCTCCTTCCTCCAAATCTCGTAGCACGAACTCTTCTCTCCTATTCCAATGACGGCGTACTCGGAATGGTGATCCTCCCAATTATTGCTAGGATACCCAGACATACTGTGGGCGTGATCGAGAAGGAATGCTGCGTTATCTTTAATCATGGGGCGCTTGGGAACATCCTGTATGTATCCAAATTGTCTTACGACTCTGCCCGACTCGTGGGGTTCCCTAATCGCCCAACAGAACATCCAACACCTAGTCGTCCAAATGGCTTAGCCTTGTGTACAGAAATCAGGGAGTCTATGGAGGACATGTGCATATGGTTGCCACCGAAACTGCACGAAAAAAATTTCATTAGATGGTACAACCAAAACCAAAAGAAAGGGGTAATTGATCTCAAAGTAAATATAAATACCAAATTACAAGTACTTACATCTTCAACACGCAGACTTGTTAATTGATCTCTAAACGGTGGAGTGCTGCTCCTTGGGGCGTCGCCGTAAGTGTACCTACATTCCCACCTTAATAAACAAAGGGGTACATTTGAATTAGTGAAATAAATGAATTAAAAACAAATAGAATTAAACGTTGAGTTATTTTGAACTGAAAATACGTACCGCTGAGCTAATGGAGCGGTCTCATCAAGCAAATAATCTACTCCTTTTCTTTGGGGCGATCCTCTCGATCCGTTCATACGCCCATACCTAGTAAATTGCAATAATAATGTAGAAACTTCAAATTATAACGTCGAAAGCGCAAAATAATTAAAGCACAATATGAAAACTAATACGTACCTGTAGCAAATATAAACACCCGGTGGCGTCGTGCATGGTATACTGTGATGCCTCACATAGGCCAGAGTACAACCCAGCTAGCAGTGCCGATCCCTAACTGTATCGACTACACTGATCCAAATCCTCAACCTGGGCCAAGAACTGTAGATTGACAGTGTTCTGCGTCTTGTTCGGAAACATGAAACTGCTAATAAAATGCAGTATAAGTGTCCTGGCCCTTTGCTCGAATCGATGGACAGTGGAATTTGAAGGTAGTGCACGGCCCATCTCATCTTCGAAAATACCAATATTGACACATTGGCCATTTACAGTCGCCGGCCGGAATCCTAAATAAGCCTCACATCGATCCCTCCATTCATCTGCAGTCCGGCTAACTGTCGTGCCGTACACCGGGTCACCATCCACCCGAATACCAAACAGGACCTCGACGTCCTGTAGCATCACCGTCGCCTCTCTGAAATTAAAATGGAAAGTGTGGGTTTCTGGCCTCCACCGTTCCACCAACGTGGTAATGAGGCCTAGATCAACTCTTTTGTACCCTACCTTCATGATCCCCTCAAAACCGGCTCTCCTAATGACTTCCTTAACCTCCGATGCCGTATTTTTATATAACGCCCAAAAATCGCTGTCGTACCTACGGCCCTTGAGGCGGAATGTCTTAATGTCCGGTATCCTGTTCTCATAGACAGCTTGGGACCTATGCTTTGTTTGACGATATAGCATTTTATCTTGTATAGGTCCCGGGTGAAGATGTTTAGGTTGATAGTCATATTGGGAGCCCAATGCCGGCGTCGCCATTTCAATCCTACACAAGGTAACCAAAAAAAAACAAATCAATAAAACCATAAACATTCGGCCAAATAAACAATACTAGCAAACCATAAACATTCGGCCAAATAAACAAGACTACCAAACCCTCGAAGATACTCCCATGCAGCAGGTTTGAATTCAATAAGCTCTGCCCTCATACGGTTGTATTTCACTCTTGAAAGCGTCGTGCCCATCTTCCAACATAACCGCTTCACCTTTTTGCTATTATATCGCGACACAAGATTGCTGCGAACGTGGCGGAGGCAAAGAAAGTGCCCACCATCACCTAAATCACGCCATTCATCCATCTGTGACATTGCGCTCAACAACCCTGCATTCCGGTCGGATATCACACTTACGATTCTATCATACACAACCCACAACCTCAAATTCCTCATAAAAAATGTCCAACTCTCTACTGTCTCCTCATCAACAATCGCAAATGCAACCGGTAAAATGTGCTTGTTTGTGGTATACACCACCGCAACAAGCAATTTACCCTTGTATCCACCACGCAAAAAGGTTCCATCGATACAAATGACCGGTGGACATTCAAAAAACGTCTCAGCCACCGGTGCAAATGACCAGAAGACCTATTTAAATGTCCGGTTTCCTCTGTTCCAACCTTCTTGTCCCTCCTTCCATTCCCACTCTACTACAGTCTCAGGATTAGTAAACTTAAGCGCAGCGATATACCTAAACAACAACAAGTCATTGTTAAAATATTTCAATACATGTAAAAATAAAAATACTATAAATATTTCAATACACGGATTAAAGTTGATATTTACCGTGGAAGTTCTTCGAAATTGGAGGTCCAATCACCATAGACCGCTTCTATGGCTTTCCTCCTCCCGTGCCACGCCCTTTTGTATGGCACATCTACTTTCAATAAGGTCTTCACATCTTTCTGTGCCGAGGCTACCGTATAATCTACGTTGTCCTCAACCTTTCTCCTAATGAGTCTAGCAATCAAAGACGCGTCCACACACCGATTGTCATTATCATTCACAGGAGTCATGCAATTATGTGCATCATGCCATCTCACAATTTCATGAAGGCCGTGAGCTTTCAATGACACACGCATCTTCCACTCACATGGTGGTTCACCATCCTCACTTTCCACATTAAATGTTCCGCACCGCACGCCCCACGTCCTTGGACTACTCGCGCGACCGTATATTCCCTTTTATGATGGATATTCCATAATTTCACAAAGATGCTTTGCTTCTGATTGAGATTTGAAACAAACACCAATGTCCATTCCTTCGTGCGTCTCATCCCACATTTTAAGAGCAAACTCATCGTTGTCTACACATGAGGCATCCCAGTTCCCCATCTTACTATATACATGGCGTCGGGCGAATAGATTACAATCCCTTTCCTCATTTTCCAACATTTCATCATCACTTTCTTCAAAATCACTCTCTCCGGAGACATCACAGTCTTCTTCGCTTTCACTTGGAGCTATGTAGTCGGAATCCCACTCTTCCCGGTAGTCATTTTGTGCAAATAAAGGTGTCTCCTCTTCATCACGGTTTCGAGAAGTACTAGCACGTTCCCCCCTTCGAAAATCACCAAATGACACGTTTTCCAAACTCGCTTCTCTTTCTTCTTGAGTGATATCTTCCAAATCTATGTATAAATCCAAACATGACATTGGATCTACACGGTTCATGAACTCTACATGCGAATCATTCTTGATCTTCACTACACGCCTACCACCGGGACTATCGAAAATCAAAGAAAGGTGGAGTTTCACGTGTGCTGGATCCCAACCAAGGGTCATACAAATCTTACTAATCAATCCCTCATATGACAACCTTTCTTCGACAAACAAACCATCATCCGGCATATTCAAAAAAGTGTTGATGCTACCGTTCTCTATCACATACTTACTTGTATGATACAAATTAAGCATGTATGATACATTACATGCCATTGATAACTGTTAAAAAAAACATCAATAACTAATCATTTCTTAATAACAAAATCAACAAAATACACCATACATTCTCTAAAATACACCATACACCATACATACTCCAACAAATACACCATACTAAAATACTTATAAATCAACTTCGATATCTCATGAACAACTATGATTTATCATCTCTAACCCCAAAATTAACACCTAAAACATCCAAACAACCAACCAACATAAACCCTAATCTATCATACATCATTCTAACAATCAAAATAACACAAAAATAAACTAAATAACATGGTTTTGCAATATAACCTCTTTCAAATAACGATTTCCACGTATCTAAAGGCAAGAATGCATCAAAAACTTCAATTCGCCCTTGTTTGAGCTGCAAGAACAGAAAATCCAACTCAGTTCTCGAATGAGAACTGCCTGAAATTTTTTTTCTTTTATAGCACGTTAAACTCGGATTTACAAAATCCGAGTCCGTAAGTAACTCGGATTTTCGAAATCCGAGTTACGTTGGATTCGGATTTCCTAAATCCGGATTTAGTCAATTCAGGATTATTTTATTAATTTTTGGTCCTCCAATTTAAGGCACATGCCTACTTCCACCAACCAAAATTAAAGGCATCCGGATTTCGCAAATCCGAATTCGTCAAACCGGATTACGGACTTCCGGTTTTTTGGATTCAAAAATTTCGCGCCGCGATTTATTAATTTTTAACTAAACTCGGATTTTACAAATCCGAACGTTACTGTTCATTTAAGAACTAAAAAAACTATTATTCAACAAAATTTATGAAATTATTATTTTATTATTAAGTATGAATCCGGATTTGCAAAATTCGAATCTCTAATATTAATCAAAACTCGGATTTCAAAAATCCGAGCAATATATTTCTGTCCACAAATATTCTGAAAAATTTAAATTTGTCCATGTTTATTTTATTTAATTTTTTTTGGGAACCCCCCACTACATTCCCCCACCATAAACTCCCCAAATTTTGATAATAATACTATATATACCCTAACTAGGGGTTAAACATTAAAATGACGGAAATGATCATCGTTCACCTACACATCATTTCCTTTTCTCTTCTTTGGTTTGTTTTTATTCGTTTTTTGACCATTTAAAAAGAAATTACTTAATTTGTCATTTTCATATTTAATTATAACATAAGTTAATAAATGAAAGTCAATTCATAGAAAATAAAAGTTATTCATTATTAAAAATCTAAGTTTATTTTGCTTCATAAAAAAAGATATATTTATTTCAAAAGGCATGATATTGTTAACTTTAAAAATTTATAATTAAGTGCATTAGTTTAAAATGAATTATATGGAGTATTTTTTAAATTTATTGATGATTTATTTTTCAAACATTTAATTCGTATAATTTAAAATTATATAGATTGAAGGGTATTTTTTTACCGTGTACACAAAATTGATGATTATGTCGGTATGTTAAGGGACATTTGGTTTAAATTTACTTATTTTTAATATCCTTTTATGCGAGATTTTGCTACTATTTTGAATATATTTCTGTTATTTATGTGATTTTATCTTTAATTGTAGGAATAGTATTCAAAAGGAGGAATTGTTGAAATTATGGGCTAAAATGAAGGTTAAAGCAACTTAAAGGGGCACAATTGAAGATTGGAATAGTGAATGAGGAAGAAATCGACGAGTTTAAGGACTTCAAGGACCAAACATGCAAAATTTGAGCTCTAGCTTTAGAGTTGGCCGAGAAAAGAGAGCTAATTTGCGTGGGTTGGTTTCAACTCTTTCATGGGTCTGGTTCTGGAGCCCAAACATTATAAAGTGGGCTGGTTATTAACTTGAAATTAAAAAAAGGCTAACCAACTTAAGAAGCCTATGTGTTCATTGATTTGTTGGACTTTAATTTAATGATGCTGCTCCTTGCCGAAGATTGCCGAGAAGAGAACAACTCCAGCAACAAATTAATTCCAAGCAGAGGCGGTGGCCGAAAGAAAAATTCCCGAAGAAGTCTTTTAATTAAATTAGATTTTTTTCTTTGCAAGTAATTGGAGAGTTGGTGATGTCTATAAAAAGAACTCCTTCACAGAGAGAAAAAAAAAAAAAAACCCATGCTCCAGCACCCTATCTCTGCGCACCATCACCATCTTGCCCCCTCATTCACGCACTAGCACACCATAAACCACCGAAGCAGCTCGCACCACCTTGCTTCCTCCTTTACTTCGCACACCCGCAGCACCACCTTAATCACCATCGTCACCTTTCGTCATCAACACCATCAGCCGCGGAGAACCGAGCCTTGAATTGAATTGATTTCTAGCTTTCGGTTTCGGCGCAATCGCAATCTTCCGGGTTTTATTGTTTTTGTTTTAATTATTTAATTCAAATTTTTAGGATTATGTCTCTAAATATTGTTGAATTAATATTATTTGTTTTTATTTTATTTATTTATTTTAGTTTTAAATTTTATAAATTTGAGATCATCATTTATCTAGATAATAATAGGAGTAATTTATACATGGTAATTAGTATTCCTTCTCTGTGGGATCGATCCTGCTTGCTACTTTACTACTAGTAATTGTATTAAGTAGGTAATTATTATTTGACTAGTGTGACGACGGCTTGTCACTATGAGTTCAGGAGACATTGTAATATCATCAAAACTTAGAGAATTGTAATAAATTAAGCCAAAAGTCGGTGATAAAATGTTATTTGCCCTTCTTTCTTTAAGAAAAGTTCAGGTTTGTCAAATCTAACCTAAGAGCTATATGGCCGGGCAATTGAATTTTAAGCATTTTAGTGCAACTCCAATGACAAACTTGTGATCAAATAAGTAATACGACCTAAAGTACGAACGGTATAAACTTGTGAAGTATATAATACGACCTAAAGGGGTATTTTTATCACACTACACTCATTTTATTCTTACGTCAATACAATGAGCTAACAGCCCGCAATTGAAAGACCAAATTGTCCATTGACCCAGTACTAGAGGGGAGTTTATGGTTCTTATGAGAAATTTCAAAGGAGATTATTCTTTTGGATATAGTCTCAGGGATATCCTTTTCCCTCAAGTGAACTACTCATTGAGGAAAAAAACATAAATGTCTATTTTGCAGCAACAGCTCATAGTCATGCGTAGAAATAATCTCTAAATAAAAAACACATACCAATTTAATGGGAATTAATTTTGTGGAAGAATAATTTTTAGTGATTCGGTCAAACTACCCTCAAATTTTGGGATCAAAACTGAGTTCTGCCCATAAAAACACAAAACAATTAACTCTTCCCATTATAAGCTAAAAAAATATGATCGAACTTATACACAATTATAGTTGTCTCCCTCCAACCTCCATTTTAATTTCGATTTCCATAGGTAAAATAAGTACCATATAGTGCTATATATGAAAATCATCAGTTTTATTTTCCTCTTAAAATTTATCAAATCTAGCCAATATAAGCACCTCTCTTCACTTGTGAATATGCTTTCAAGTAGTCAGATTGATGATTAGTGTTTATGGTTTAACGGTTTTCATTAGCAAAAAATCTTCTGTGACACTTTTGTGTTACACTCTCTGTGAGACTAACTGAAATTTGATACGTATTTAATCACTTGTTAAATAGGATTTATTTACTGTTTGGTTAGAGTCTTAATAATTAATTACTTAAACATGTGTCAACCATTTAACCAGTGTCAGAAAGTGTCACATAAAACGTCACCAAAGACCCTATGCGGCTATGCCCGTTTTCACTCTGGTTTAACGATTCTCTTGTCTAAACGTTTATGGGTGATTGGAATATTGGTGTGCTTGTTATATGCGTGAATACCATCAAACTTCAAAAGTAATTGAGCAAAGATGAGAAATTTTTCCCTTTTCGATAAATGAATGAGAAAAGTTCTTGTAGACGCGCAATTGTTGCGCATGACTTGCGCGTTTGAAAAATTTAATCTTTTTTATATCGCGCAAGTCCTACGCCAAAATAGCGCATCTACAAAAATACTATACAAATAAAATATTTTTAAATATCATGATTTCCCCTAACATTAATGTGCTCCAGATTAGTTAAAAAGAGTAGTTGTCGCCATTATTATTAGAAAAATATACCCTTAGTGAAATAATATAGTGAGGAAAGAAAGTGACTGATGTGTACCCTCTATTTTGTTGCCACTTTGTCGTTGAAATTTTTTCTTTCCCTCGAAAGTTATCCTTTTCTTCCAATATTCTTTCTCATTATCTGTATCATTGTTGTTATTATAATTATTGTTATTATTATTATTTACTGTAAAGGATGCACAAGCTTAATAACTAAATAATTTGGAGCATAGAGATCTAGGGTTAGAGTGGTTTCAACTTAAACCATGAATGAAGTTGGGAACTTTTAACTATAAAAGTTTAATGATTATACGAATATTAAATCAACGAAAATATTAGGATGTGAACTTTCGAATACGAAGGGTTATTAATTCCGATAATTATACATGACGTCCGTTTGTTCCCATTCTTTGAGGATCACCCCCAAAGGTTAAAAAGGAAACATTCCTTCAGATTCCTAAGGGCACCCCCAGCTGGTTTGCTACCTCGACCTCCGCCACCCATCTTCCAGCAACACGTGGATGTAGCAAGGCTGCCTGCCGTCGGATTCACAATATCGTGTATAAGAAAACCTAAAATCAGTCGGTGGGGAAAAATCTAGCTTGTGACTCACATTAATTTCTCATGAAATAAAAACTAAATTTAGAATCTAATAACAACCATTAAATGCAACACTTGAATAAATTCTCATAAACTAACATAGTATAATTTTGCAAGTTACTCGATAATTATTACTCTGATGGTAACTCACTCGCATCTAATTATGTGACTTTTCACATCATCTAAAGTGTAATAACTCTAACCCTAATTCTGTAATAATTGTTAAAGAGTTTTTGAACAGTACGAATACACATCCTAATTATAAAAATTTTTAAGATGACAAAATAATTTGGAACATAGTGACAAACATTATTGTTA